CCATCCTCTTTCCTCCCTCTTAGCATGTACCCTGTTCCCTCCTGGGACTCACTTTTCATCTCCCTCTTCCCTGTTAACACTTATCATTATCCAGATCTCACTGGTCATCACTTCTTCAGAGCAGGATGGGTATGTTGACCAGAAGACAGTTATTAAAGTATTGGAAGGAGAAAACACCCTGGGCTGGTTAGTTGAAATAAACTATGTTAAGCTGTGACATTAGTTGTAGGGAACATTGCAGAAGTCAAGGAGAGAGTTGAGAAGTTGAAGACTGCTGGATGTTTTTGAGACCTTAAAGCTAAGTTTTTGCCAGTAACACAATTCAGCCAAGTAAAGGAGAGTCCCGGGTTAAGATGGAACAGCCAGGCCACGCTGCTCTGGTTTTGATGCTTTTCCTTCATGCTGATTATTGTAATAGAACATTCATATGCACATAAACAATTAGGGGCAAAGCTTCATGTGATAGAGACAGCATTATCGTGGAGGGAGGTGAAAGAAGGGTTAGGGGAGGATTACACAGTGCATAAGGGGTGAATTCCCAAGGGGTTGGGCTTTTATTATAAATAAAAGGGATTGGACTAAGCCTGTGAAATGAAGAAAGGGAATCCTTGCCACTGTCCACCTGTCGTCACTCCTGCAGAAGTAGTCGTCGGCAGTGTAAGCAGGTTATTCTGGATTACCTCTTCTGACAGGAGCCGTCACTTGATGAAGGAGCCCTGCTGGAAGCAGTCAAGCACAGTGTTTGCTGGGTTTGCCAGCGGCTGGGAGCTGGCTGATGGGATTTTTTTCTCTCTTATGCCTTGGTCCTCCATGCCACTGTGAGGTCTGTTGTACCCAAAGGAATTAAGAAATACTGAAGGGAGGGAGTCGGTAGAAGCCGTCCTAACATCCTGTTGTTGTGTACTATCAAGTCAGGACCGACTCAGCTGACCCTCCAGCTGGTTTTCAGAGGCAGTTAATAGCCTATGAAGAGATTGCCTGTCTGTCTCCCACAAAGCAGCTGGCGGATTCAATCCATGTGCCTTTGGGTTGACAGCACAATTCCTTACCACTAAGCCACCAGAACTCCCTACTCCTAACCTCTTAGTGATGGTGGTGATGTGTGCCGTTGAATCCAAACTGACCCATAGCTGACCCTCCACTGGGTTTTCAGAAGCAGTTCATCGATGGGAGGATATTGCCCATCATCTCCCACAGAGCTGCTGGTGGATTTGAACTGCTTGCTTTTGAGATTGCAGTACAGCATCTTACCACTAGGCCACCAGAGTTTCCACTCCTCACCTCCTTCTGGTAGGCTTAATAATTCAGATTGCCCTGTTATTGAACTTCTGCTTTGTGCCATCATGTTAACTGGGGGTGAACCAGCTCCACCTCAGGGTAACTACATGGGCAAGGTAATGAAACCTGGCCTGCACGGGCACCATTTTCAAGTGGTCGCCATGCGCGGATCTGCACCGCCATCGTTCTTTTACTTTCGATACTGTGACAACTTGAGCCATGCTTCCCTTACTCGTGCTTACAGGAGCATTTTAAAACTGTCATGTAAAACCTTTTATTGTTAGTTTTGCATCCATGTTTTATCTCTTATTCCATTTGATGTAAGTCTGTAAGGTATAGAATTAAATAATGTTTGGGGAGCTCAATTTGATTTAAGACTTTGATTTGATCTCAAATTTTAAAGATAGATAGACTTTTTGATAGTTGAGGCATTCCAGAAAGAAAGGGATATCCTGAGAAAAGGTTTAGAAAAAGGTAAAGTAAGTCTATTTATAGTAATAGATTATAGTTAATATTTATTGAATACCTCTGTGTGCATCATGACTGATGAAAAAATAAAAGTTAAATTTTTAATTTTTCTGAGTTTATTTCTAGAAAAAAATGTTACTTTCCCTATTGGAAACTCTTACACAGGTAAGCACACTAACAGGGATTTTTGTTTGTTTTAAGGAAAGATCAAATGGATAGCAAAATACAAAATTTTACCTTGGTGGAGAAAGGAGAGAAGATAGATTTTTAAATATAATAAAAGCCCAAGATTAACAGCAATTTTATGAGAAAGATTCTCTTATTATTCCCATTATGCAGATAAGAAAACTGAGGTACAAAGAGTAAGCCAAAAGTCACCTAACATTAAGCGGTGGCGTTAAGATTGGAAGCTACTAGAATGTGATTTCATATTCCAAGTTGTGCTGCTAATGCAAAAGCAGCACCTCTCAGGCTGTTTGAATCCAGCAACGGATCTTCTGTATAATTTACAGCCTCACAAAAACCTGAAAACACAGCTGTGAGTCAATTCTGACTTGAGGGCATTGAAAGAGAGGAGAAAAGTAGTCCCACTTTGCAGGAAAGTACATAAAGAAAATGTTACTAATTTTCGATTTCTCACAATATTTATATCAAAAAGTCTTGTGCATAAAATAAGTGTACTCCTTACTTATTTGATCCTTTTCTTTCAAACAGTTTTTCTGAATATTTTTGTGACATTTATAGGCAAATAAATATCTAAAAGGTGCATGTTGTGAAAAGCTTTTATGTGTTCTGGGTTTTCCTCCAACTTCAAGCAAGCCGTCCATTGTTACGTGAATGGAGGTGACTCTTAGGGACCCTGTGGACACGGAAGACTTGTCTGGTCCTGCACCATCCTGGAGTCTTGTCCTCAAGTCCATTGTTGTCACTCTGTCGGTCTAGCTCATGGAAAGTCTCCCCCTCTTTCACTGACCCACTACTTCTCCAACACAATCTCTCTTCCCAGATTCTGATTTCACATGGTGGATTTAAAGTAGTTTTTAAAGCCGAAAGAACTATTAAGTTACTGAATTATTATTATGAAGGGTAAAACATGCAAGGACAGGACATTCATTTTCAGAACAAACAGCTGACAAAAATGAAAATGCTGTGAATAATTTGAATATCAAATTATAATACTAGTTGTAATTAAGTTTGGAGTTTATTTTTGTTTTTCTTTTTGGTATTGTTTGATTTGGATACAGTTTCAAAACCAGAATTTCTCTTTTGAATTATTTTTTATTAAGATACCATGTCAGTTATATAAAATAGAACAATTTACTTTATATAAAGAAAGGTACTCAGAATTCCATTATGTAAATCTAGCTTTGGGTCTTGTGAATATTTAGTTTACCAGTTAATAAAATATCAAAGGAAAAGGACAATACTTGATCTGAGTAAATGAAACCATAAATAAATCCGGTATTTTTTTAAAAAGAAAGTATCTATCATTGCTTCTCCTAAGTCTGGAGGAGAATGATGGACTAATGCCAGATGTCTCCACTCTTCCTCTCTGTGAAGACTGGACGTGCAGATAAAACCACACATAAAACCTGCGTTGAGTGATACTAGAAGATGGAAAATACCCTGGCCTTCAGATTACCAGTAAATTGAGAAACCAAACTCCAAGGAAGGTACTTCAAGCACAGTAATTCCCATCTCATTTTTCTAAGTATTTGCTTCATTAATTTATGTTAGGTCTCACTGATGTTCAAGGTTAGGGCAAGATAGAGGAACATTTCACAAACACAAAGAATCCTTTTCTCTGGCTCTTGTCCGTGCATTACATCTGCACATACTCCAGTGACCCCTGCTCCTTAGACCAGAAAGGTGAGCAGGCATTACTTCAGGAGGCACCTCTGGTGGCGTAGTCCTGTACCCGGCTAGCTAGTTACGTCTTCAGAGGTTTGAATCCATTAGCTTTTCTGAGGGAGAAAGAGCCTGGTAACCCAATGGAGAATCACCATAAGTCAGAACAAACTCAACAGCAGTGAGTAGGAGTGTTGAGTTGTGCATTGCTTTATAGGCCCTCTCGTGCTTAAAGCACTTGGCTACTAACTCCAGGGTCAGTAGTTCAAACTCATCCAGATGCTTTGAAAGAAAAAAAGAGGCAGTTGGCTTCCCCAAAGACCACAGCCATGGTAACCTGTGAGGCAGTTCTGCTCTGCCCTGCCGGGTCACTGTGGGTGGAATTGATTCTCACAGTGGGAGATCGGGTTTTGTTTTGTTTTGCATTGCTTCAGACCTGGGCCCACACTCAAGGCAAGGCTATAAATGGGGAAAGAAACAGAACTGGGAGCTCACTTACCCTTAGGTGCTTTGCTTTTGCAAGTTTATACTCCACTCTACATTCTGCCTATTTGGTGACTTTTCACAGTCCACGTGTATGAGGAGGGGGCTGTGTGTTGATGTTTTGATCTGGAGTTAATGGCTGTAAATACGGAGAGGGAGGCTATGAGGGAATTACGTCTCCATAGCAGAAACAGAACTCTAATCCGTGTGTATTGTATATTGTTCACCCTGATTTGTATAGTTTCTTCTGGATATTATGGGAGATTTAAATTTACAAAGCTATTAATAACTGTTATTTTATTCTGGTAATTAGTACTGAGTTTTTTTCTCTTAATCAACCTAATATTTCTTACTTCCTCCTTCTACTTCTTGTTCTGAGACCTATAGTAGGAATTATAAGTCAACAGCCTAATGTTCTAGAAACATTTCTTTGTTCTGCTAATTTGTAATTGAAGGTTAAGTTTGAAATAAAATATAGCAATAAAACTCAAAAAAAGCATTCATAGTCGTCATGAATTTCAAAGGAGCTTATTCTAGGTAGAAGCTGTAAGATTTTAAAATCTTAATAAAATAATTTTGTTCTTTGTTTCTTTTTTAAGATAGCTTTGTGTAGATAAAGATCATGAAGACATTGCATCCTTATATAATCCCCTTAATTGAGTCATACATGCATTGACATCATTATCAAAATAGTTGTGAGATAGATATCTATATACATAGATATAGATAGAAATATATAGATAATGTTATTTTTGTATATATGTGTTTATATGCATTGATGACACTAATGTCATTTATGCATTGTTTTCTTTTCCTCTCAGTGAAATACTTACATTTATTAAGGACCCCAAACCCAATGTCTTGAGGATGGTAATCCACCTTTAATTGTTTACTGTGTTTACTTCCTACCTTTTCCATTTCAGATGGTCTGCTGGTGATTGGTGTTCACTCGGCTAAGTTTCCAAATGAGAAAGTCCTGGAGAGCATTAAGAGTGCTGTTCTTCGGTACGATATCACGCACCCGGTGGTGAATGACGCAGATGCCAGCCTTTGGCAAGAACTGGAAGTTTCCTGCTGGCCAACTCTGGTCATCCTGGGACCCCGTGGAAATATGTTGTTTTCTTTGATGGGAGAGGGACACAAAGAGAATTTATTTTTGTACACTTCAATAGCACTACAGTATTACAAAGATCGGGGGCAGATTAAAGACACAAGAATTGGCTTAAAACTCTACAAAGATTCTTTGTCACCTTCACCATTGCTGTTTCCTGGCAAAGTAATAGTAGACCATGCTACTGAAAGATTAGTCATAGCAGACTCTGGACATCATAGAATTTTGGTTGTCTCGAAGAATGGACAGATTCAACACAGCATTGGAGGTAAAGTGTGTGTGTATACTGTACATGATGTGTAATGTATTGCAGAGGGAAAAACTATCTCTAGTTAAAGCAGAAATGTTTGCATTTATAAATATTGAACTCTAGAAGGTTAGTGTTCTTTGCCTTTTAACTTTATCTGAAGCTCTGGTGGCCTAGTGGATAAAGAGTGCACTGCAGTCCACAAGGCAGGCATTTAAATCCACCAGCTGTTCCACAGGGGAAAGGTTAGAAGTCTCGTGCCGTGCGATTTACAGCTTCTAACATCTGCTGGCTGAGAGGTCAACAGTGAGTCAGTTCTGACTCAATGGCAATGAGTTGTTTTGTTGGGGTTGGTTTTTGGGGTTTTCTTATTTAACTTGATCGTGAAATTATTTTGTCATGTAATAGATAGTATCGAAGCTTATTTCTTCTTTTTCTCACATAAGACAAAAGTCTTCAAGTTTCATTAAGGTGAAAAAGGAAAAAACCTCTTAAGTGAGAGCTTTAATGTGTATTCACACCTCGCTCTCGTTTTTAGATTGTGTTTTGTTTTTTCACAAACCTTTCATTATCATGTCTTATGAAAGTACTAGCTGGGTATTTCTGTGTTCCTGGCATTTTAAACAGGAGTACATATGGTTGACCCTTGAATAGTACAAGGATTAGGTTTTCTTACTACTCGTGAAGTTGAAAATCCATGTCTGATTTCCAGTTAGACGCTCAGCAGCATGGGTCAGAAGTGGTTGCGTCCACTCAGATGTGAATTGCTTTCGTCTGTTTTATTGGGGTGTCCCCTTAAAATGTATGACACTGATTATCTCCTTGTGAGCAGTACATTATGCACGAGAGACCAACAACTTAACTCGGACACATGAAGCTCTGAGTGCGCATGTTCACACCACTTGCATTCTCTGCATTCACAACGGGGGAAGTACAATCCATGTGGAATGGGCTCACACAGTTTAAACCTAGGTTCAAAGGCCAGTTGTATTTGACTTTTTTTTTTTTAATTATTCTTAATTTCAATGAACATTTACAGAGATTGTGGATTTCCATTCATTCATTGTTGCACTTTTCTCCCTTTCCACCCCACCCCCACCCCCACTTTGCTCTTCTTTGGAAGCAAAAGAAAAAACTCCTTCATTGGTATACAATCCCCCTGCACCCTCACCCCGAGTATACTCCACTCATTCCAAACTCTTATGATAACCATAATGCCCTAAAATAGATTATTTTTAAACTGTTCTCTCCCTTTTCGGCTTCAGTATACATAATTTATCCTTTTTTTTCTCACACATAACCTTATCAAAGTAGAACATTTCAAAGCCTGCTGTATCCCCAGAACTTGATATAAACTATCACTTTAGATGTAAAATAAAAACGTGCCCATCATTTTCCTTTCCTTCCATCTCTGTCAGGCACCCTGTTGGCACAAGCATAGTATTTGGTGCCACTAACTGAAAGGTTGATAGTTTGAATCCACCGCCCTTTCTGGTGGTGGGTAGGCAGTCTCTTCCCGTGAAGAAACCTCATGGAATATTTCCATGAATCAGAGTCAACGCCACTGCTGTGGGCTTTTGCCCCTAACGTGAAAGGGACCCTTGTGGCACAGGAGTTAAAACTTAACTCTGGAAGGTAGATGAATCGAATCCATGAGCCACTCCACTGAATAAAGACATGTGGCAGTCTCTCCAAAAATGTGCAGCTTTAGAAACCCTATAGATAGTCTACTCTGCTCTACGGGGTGGTTGGCAGTCACAGTCTGCTTTTATAGTCAGAGATTTTTTGGGGTCTGCCCATAAGGATGTCACCATATTTTGGATCTTGTCCCGTTCAGTGAAGCAGAGTAAATACCATGCAAGCATAGATCATTTTGTTCCCTATCTCTCTGCTCTCAAATCTAAAGAACAGCCTTGTTTACATCTGTATAATTAATAGACTCTTTTAAGTAAACGCTTATTAATCCTAACCATCTAGGCTGAACTGTCACCTACTTATTTGTCAAAGAGAAGAGCAATTTGGTTTTTGTAGTAATGCCTTAGTAACACATGCTGTGTTAGCATTTAGAGTAGAAATATCAGAATTCCTAATAGAGAGAAGAGTTAGTTACACTTATAAGCCCTCATTCTGGTCTTAGTACACCAAGGTACTGTTTCTCTAACTCTTCAATTTTTTATCTCTCTTCTTCATAACAAAACTTGACTTTCTTGTTGCTATCAAGTGTGTATTTATGTGTGTGTGATTGTTAAAGTATGTGTGTTTTTTCTGTCATTTGTTTTAGGTACTTGATATTTTTATTTATGACAGGCAGTTAAGAGAATTGTTGCTCAAAAATGTCTGTTGTAAAAGCTTGCGTTTAGATTAAAAGGGATTTAATAGATTGTTGAAGTTTGAAAAATGATATAGAATATTCTTATTAATCAGATAAAAAAACAGCAGCAAGCCTTTTCCCCCAAAGCATCTTTCTAATACTTTTATCTTATGTTGAAATAATAACTCTTCTTTAGTTTTTTGGGTTTCTTTTAAATTAATTTCTTGGTCAAGATATACTTGGGGAATACTGATTTAATGTGATTTCACAGATTTTTTTTTTAGGGTGTCATAAGACTTCTCAAGTCTTTTACTATGTTAATGTCTCATAAATACCCAAGAGGGAATTACAGTACCCAGTAATTCCCAGTTTGCAGTGACCTTTCAATTCTTCCCCCCCCCAAACAATTCTCACCAGTAACAACAGTGGTAATAATAGTAGCAACAGTCATAATGATCATCGTAAGCACATGTATAGTACCTGATATGTGCTTGGTACAGTTCTAAGCACTCTGCGTGCTCTGAGGTAAGTACTACTGTTTTCTAATTTTACAGAAGAGGAAATTGAAAATAATCCCCATCTAAGAAGTAGCAGCACCAAGAAATAGGGCTCTAGGATTCAGAGTTCTAGCATAGTTAAACCCTCAGCTGCTAACTGAAAAGGTGACTGAACACACCGAGGAGTTCTGCAAGAGAAAGGCTGCGCTTTTGTCAGAATGACAGCCTAGAAAATCCGGCAGCTATCTGAAATCGTTTGTGGCCTATGAGTGTTTTTCTGAAGAACAAGTTCATCATTTTCATTGTATTGTTTTAAAGAATCTTTGTCTTCCAAAATTGTCACAAATCTATCTTCTGGAAGCTGAAAGAGGAAAATTCTGTTTACCTCTTTCTGGTCTAGATAATAGGTAATCAAAATGCTTTAAAAATTTATTTCCTTTTATGTACTATATGTAGGTTCACTTGTAATTATTATGCAGTTAAGTCCTATCATTAGGAGAAAGTCATATTTGAGAAAAACAGCTAGTATTTTTAAAAGAGGTATCTTTTTTTATATTAAATACCTAGCATTACGTAAAAATCTTAGTTTCTTGTTTTTTTTTTTTTTCTTGTGATTTCCTTTTGAGTGGAACAAATTTTGCTTTCTGTTATTTAGGACCTAACCCTGGAAGGAAAGATGGAACATTCTCAGAGTCAACTTTTAATTCGCCACAGGGTATAGCCATAATGAATACTACGATCTATGTGGCAGATACTGAAAATCACCTCATAAGAAAGGTAATTTTCCACTTGAAATGAACTTATACTGCTTCTAATCAGAAAAACTGATACTTAAATATTGGAAGTTACAGGTAGGAATGGATATCCCAGAGCATCTTTATTCTACTTTTCTCATGGTCTTCTTTTTGTTTTATTCATAAATACCTTGCTTTCCTGTATGTCAAGTCTAGTTCCTTTTTTTTAGCAAGAAGAGATAGTTTATTAAGATTAAAGTAAAAAAGATGAGAATAATAATTATTATAAACCCAATCATGAGTATGCTATATAATGATTAATAACTTTGATGCTGATATGCATGGTGCGTTGCACTGACCAAAATGTAAGTGCTTCGAACCCTGCCGGTTCTCTGAAGGAGAAAGATAGGCAGTCTCCTCCCATTAAGATTGGCAGCTTTTGAAATAAAATGGAGGATCACTATGCGCCAGAATCAACAAAAGTGGGGATTTTATATATTGATAATAGTAAGAGAGCACATTTGTACTCCCTCAGAGTCCCACTGTAGTAGTAACTGTCAAGCCCAAGTACAATGAGTCCCCATTTCCCACCCACTGAGATCTGCATAACCCTTCCTTTACTTTCTGACTTTATGAATTTCGCTTCGTCTTGTTTTCGATGAATTTGAAGAGGATAGGTGTTAATTCTTTGGGCATTGATAGAATTCTTAAGAAAGGCCATCTGGGCTTTTGACTTTGCTTTCGTAGAATGTTTTTGATCACTGCCTTAGTCACTTCTTGTTAGAGATCTATTCAGATTTTCTATGTGTGTCAGCGTTAGTAGTTTGTACCTTTCTAGCAATTTGTCCATTCCATCTCAGTTACCTACTTTTTCAGCATGTAGTATTCTCTTAAGTCCTCTGATTTCTCTGTGATCAATAGCATTATCTCCCTTATGTCTAATTTTCATCTATCTTTTCTTGGTGTGTCCAACTAATGGTTTATTAGTTGTGTTTGTCTTTTCAAAGAACCAACTTGCACTTTCATAAATTCTCTTTTGATTTGTTTCTAACCTCTTATTTCCTTTATCTCCACTCTGATCTTTATTCTTTCCTTCTTTCCACTTGCTTTGGGTTTCATTTACTATGCATTTTATAGTTCTGAAAGGGAAAAGTCTAGACTGTTGATTTAAGATTTTTCTTTTTTTAATGTTGTTGTGTACCGTCGAGCATGTGTTGTATGTAATGGTGATTGAGTGTATGCCGTGTGTAATTGAGAAAGATGGGCAGTCTCTGTGATTTACAGCCTCTGAAAACCTGCTGAAGCCTCAGCTCTGGCTTGGTTCTGACTTAATAGCAGTAAGAGAATTGTTAGGTGTAATATATATTATAATTACTTTATTAATGGGTTGATTCTTTTATTATATAATACCCATCTTTTGGTTACTGTTTGTATGGAGTATTTTTTCATCCTTTTACTTTCAAGCTGTCTTTATCTTTTGGATCTAAAGAAAAGCCTCTTGTAGATAGCACATAGAGGGGTCATGCTTTCATGGTTCTTTTAGTTCTTTGTACATGGTTTCCTTTAAGTATTTGAGCATATTATTAAGTTGATTAAAGTTTTGTTTAGTAAGTTTCGTGGTTGAGATTTCTCAGACGATTTCTGTTTTCTCCCTCTGCTCCCTCATGAATGCGCATACTTCTTATTTCTTTAAATGCCTTAATTATTTTTCTTTTGAAAGCCAGGATTGTGAATATTACAGTAGCGTCCTTAATGTCGCTGCATGTTATATCTCTTGTTGGTTTTTTAAATGCCAAGTGTAATTGAAATGTGTGTGCATTTTTTTGAAGCATACATTTTTCTAGATTGTATTTTCACATCTCATAAAAAGTTTCCTAGTTCACATTAATCAGCACTAGTGCTAGTGGAGGCGGGTAGGGAAGTGGGCAGGCAGGATGATAAGAGAGACTGAGTGGTTGTGAGCTTACATACAAGAAATCACCTGAGAGTTGATGAGTCACTTAAAAAACCAAAAATAACCCACACGTTCTAAGTACATGTATTAATGAAGGAGATCTTCACATATATAAGGAAACAAGCAAAAGTAGCATGCGTTCCATAAAATACTGATTAATTTCTCTATAGATTGACCTCGAAGCTGAAGCCGTGAGCACTGTGGCTGGTGTTGGAGTCCAAGGAACTGATAAAGAAGGTGGAGCCAAAGGCCAGCAGCAGCCCATTAGCTCCCCGTGGGACTTAGTTTTAGGAACATCAAGTAGGTAAACTTTATTATCAAATAAGTAAACAAGTAAATTTCACTTCATAAAAATAGTATTTAAAAATGTATTCTTGGGACATTATACCAGGGGATTGGGGATTTGTTAGTTTTGTCAAAATAAATACAGCTCTAATATATGTGTCTTCTTGACATTGAGCCTCAGTCCATACTGAAGGCTGCAGTCCTTGACCCTCCGCAGCAAGCGCATGAGGTCCTCCTCAGTTTCAGCAAGCAGGGTTGTGTCATCTGTATAAC